AAATGCAAAAATTATTGTATTTAATTTATTGGAATGAATAAGTCTAGAGTCTGAGTTGTTCCGTATTTGACATTTGACATGACCTTCTATGGATGCTGTTAGATGTTGTGTAGCGAGTATGCAAGAGGATCTAACATGTTGTTTTATTTAGACCGGGATTTTGTCAAACTATATTTTTATATATTTTCAATAGGTTGAAGTAACTGACGAGCAGGTCAATCCAACTTGAGCTTGAAGTGCAAGTGGGTCTTCAAAAATGTGGACCACTCAAGGACTTTTCTGTTGGTAGATGATGGACTACAAACTGAATATTTAACAAAGAAATCCACTTTGGTGCTTATTGGCTACTAATGATGTGAACTTGTGCATTTATTATACCAAGTACTTTTACATTTCCTTGATGATACTAGACTTGCATATACCGAATTCAGGTTTAGTTGATTGATTGCAGTTCTAAGTTCCTCTCGCAAGATTATATCTCTCATGTACATGTATGAGACATCATTAAATGCAGACATTTTCTCTGTCCTCCTGTTGTGACATGAGAGCTCGGACTTAGTTGTAAAAATATTTATGATGCAAGAGAAAATAAATGGCCAAGCCAATGTATGTAAATGTTGATAATAACATTAAATATTCTTTGATAACTAGTGTGAGTGTGTTTTGTTTTTTCCAATATGAAAATTCAGGGGGAAAATGAGTTTTGGTTGAAAAGCTGGGCTAAATTGTATAATTTATAGTGTTTCTGTTGCGGAAACCTATGGTACACCATATGTATTTCAACCGTATACGCATACTGAAACCTTGCGTAAACCTCAAGTTTCAGCAAGTTTCAGTTGCGGAAACCTATGGTACACCATATGTATTCCAACCGTATACACATACTGAAACCTTGCGTAAACCTCAAGTTTCAGCAAGTTTCAGTTGCGGAAACCTATGGTACACCATATGTATTTCAACCATATACGCATACTGAAACCTTGCGTATACCTCAAGTTTCAGCAAGTTTCAGTTGCGGAAACTATTTGGATTCGTGGACACCTTTGGTTTCCGCAGTGCGGAAACTTGATGAAACTTGAAGTTTCCGCACTGAAACTTTGCGGAAACTATTAGTAACCTTAAGTTTCCGCAGAGTTTCAGTAGAGTTTCAGCCATGCGGAAACTGTATTTTTCATCCAGTGACACTAAGATACATTATTCTGTGTATCAGTTTTTGATTTCGATGAACGGTGTTGCCGCGGTTACTAAAAATAGAAATTTCTGTGAAATTCTTTCAAAATGCTACTCCTCCTACAGTTTTGGTCTGATTTCAATATAACTTGGTACACAAGTAGACTACACTAAGATACATAATTCTGTATATCGGTTTTTGATTTTGATGGGCGGTGTTGCCATGGTTACTAAAAATAGAAATTTCTGTGAAATTCTTTCAAAATGCTACTCCTCCTACAGTTTTGATCTGATTTCAGTATAACTTGGCACACAAGTAGACTATACTAAGATACATAATTCTGTGTATCGGTTTTTGATTTTGATGGGCGGTGTTGCCGTGGTTACTAAAAATAGAAATTTCTGTGAAATTCTTTCAAAATATTCTTTCAAAATATTCTTTCAATTTTTTCTTCATATGCACTGAAGAATATGCTTCTTCTCCACATATGTCTTTCATTTTATTCACAAGATCAATTACTGTGATTTGCTCAACCTCATGTTGTTTCAAATACTCAACAATTTCTAGAAAAGCATCTGTGCAACTCACTGGCCTTCCTCTTTTCCTCCCAACTTTGTCGGAGGAAAAATATTTGGGCATGTCTTTACCGGTTCTGAAGTTAACGCTGCACATTTGGCGATACAATGCATCGGCAGCATGCAAGTCATTGATAGATTCGATTCTTCCTCTAACACTAACTGCCCAGTCATCTTCTCTCTGATTACAAGCTTTTAAAATTTTCTCCTGAAAATCTTTTATCCTTACAGGAAAGACATCAATGCCTTTGTTCCTAAACCAATCTGACTTGGTGTCTTGACAACAAAAAAGACAATGTTCATTAAACTGGAATTGAACCTTTGATCGTAATGTTGGAGTATTTGAAGTGCTACCTAATGTTTCAAACCTTTTCTTTTCTTTGTTGTTTTTTCTCGTTTACATTAGTATAAATTCTGCGACACTCTTTATGAACGTAATTGCCAGGATATGCTACTAATATGTCTTGTCTTTCTCTACTAGCTTTATTAATACCATCACTGCCTTTGTTTATTTGTACAAGATGTTTGGTAGATTCCTCCTTATGGCATATGATACAACTGCTCATCTTCTAATTTTTACCTAGTACAGAAGGGAAATGGTAATATTTGAATATTTTAAACATACAGTGCATTTGTATTCCTAATGAATATACATTGTAATTATTGATTCACAAATTTTATACATTTACTCCGTGTACTCTTTTGATTTTGGAAAATATTCTCTCTAAAATAACAAGATTTTTTATAACACTGACCCCAAATAAAGCCAGAGGAGATATTTCCTTTATATATATCCAGGAATAAGTTAACAACCAATCAGAAGCAAAAAAAAACCAGAAGTCTCTGTCGAGACTGTAGCTCTACTGGTTTGTACTTATCAAAAACCATTGCACTATTTTATGTATCTTTGTGTAGTCTACTTGTGTGCCAACTTATTTTGAAATCAGACAAAAACTGTAGAAGGAGTAGCGTTTTTAAGGAATTCCACAGAAAATTCTATTTTGAGTAACCATAGCAATACCGTTCATCGAAATCAAAAACCGATGCACTATTCTATGTATCTTAGTGTAGTCTACTTGTCTGCCAAGTTATATCGAAATCAGACCAAAACTGTAGAAGGAGTAGCGTTTTAAAGGAATTTCACAGAAAATTCTATTTTTAGTAACCATGGCAACACCGTCATCTAAATCAAAAAAAAGATGCACTATTCTATGTATCTTAGTGTAGTCTACTTGTGTGCCAAGTTATACTGAAATCAGACAAAAACTGTAGAAGGAATAGCGTTTTAAGGAACTTTACAGAAAATTCTATTTTTAGTAACCATGGCAACACAGTTTATCGAAATCAAAAACCGATGCACTATTCTATGTATCTTAGTGTAGTCTACTTGTCTGCCAAGTTATATTGAAATCAGACCAAAACTGTAGAAGGAGTAGCGTTTTTAAGGAATTTCACAGAAAATTCTATTTTCAGTAACTATGGCAACACCATTCATCGAAATCAAAAACCAATGCACTATTCTATGTATCTTAGTGTAGTCTACTTGTGTGCCAAGTTATACTGAAATCAAACTAAAATTGTAGGAGGAGTAGTGTTTTGAAAAATTGTTTTCAGACGGACAGACAGACAGACGGACGGACGCCGGACGCATTACTATCGCATAAGCTCTTCTGGTCTCTGACCAGTAGAGCTAAAAAAAATTATAAAATTGTAATATACATTTCATTAAAGAAAAATGCATTCTGACTTTAAATTTAGGGGTCAAAATACACCTTTCTTTATGAATAATAAATTAAAAAACTAACTGAACTTTGAAAAAAAAATATAATATAAATCATCCAAGAACAAGAATATCATATAAATAGTTTATTATTTTTTTTAATTAAGGAACAAATGAATTAAACAATACATTCTGCAAATAACAATAAAATGTATAGTTACCGTTTCTGACACTGCATTAAATGTCTAAAATAATCATTCAAGAATACAAAAAATAATTATATTTTGCAAAAAATATGTTAAAATAATATAATAATACTGAAAACATCTTAATACAAGAATAGTAACAAATATTTATTAAGGTCATCATTGTCTATAAATCAATATTTATTCCAATAAATTTTAGTTACATAGTTTACATTAATTATAACAATAACAGCGTTCCATAGATCATTTCCCCAGATGTTTCCAATGTAATAATAGAAAATAAATAAAGTAATAAACAACATTGTTTAAATGTGTAAGATTCATTATACTGTGAGGTTATAAAGCTGAGCAGTTTGAATTAGTAATATGCTAGAACAATGTATATTTGTAATTGCCCAGTATTTTAATGTGAATCATTGAATATTTGACACAAGTATTAAATCTGTCATGCTGATATGGTAGTACAGACATAGAATATATAGACTTTATGATAGTTGACATATGTAAACATATACCTATATTGAACAGATACAAACCTAAGCTGATATAAAATGATTTATGAATCTCTATTACATGAACTTCTTTGTTTACTTTAGACAATAATTGTTGATGTGTATGGTACATGTAGCACTTTTACGCAATTCATATATAATCAAATTTGTAAATATTAACAGTGGCTAAAAACAACTTTCGCCTTCATATAATTTTCTAGAGTTTTTATATGTTCATTAATATACTATTTACTAATTATGTATGAAGAAAAAAATTCTGTTGCAATTTGTTTGGGGTTGATGACAAATTGACTGGACTAAACATGATAAATTATAAAACTATTCAAAAGAATTAGTATTTTATTTGATTTTTTTGTCTTGACATTAACTCAAAAAATTATTCTATATCAAATCATGTGTGCTATGAAATTACTACTTGAAGTTCATCAACTTCATTGACTAATACTTTACAAAAACAATAGTACAGGACAACTGTGCATATTACCAAATTTCTATTAACAAGTTGTGTACAAATAGTTGTGTAGTTTATCAACGAACACTGACTAAAAATTCATTTTTAAAAAATCACATTTACATTATTATTAATTGCTGAAACCCTGTAGCCAAGTTGAGATTACTAACAATTAATAATATCAGATGTTCTTGAAACGTTACTTTTCTGTTTATAGCACGCTTTGCACGCTGAACTTTTCTTGTCCAATCTTCCAAGGCTGCTTAAAAGTGAAACGTATTACCCCTAATCAACGGCTTATTAGTTCTAAAGTGTGTTTCCAATATCAACACCATCTCTTCGTTGGTACAGGCATTGTTTTCAGGAAAAACCCCTACATAAACAAATACATGGGCGCAGACATTTTGGACACCCAAAGTTGTGCGGAGGAGAAAATGCTAGCTGGCGCGTGATTGGTCAATAAGAGAAAAGACTTGTTATGTATTTGACAAGTGAAATAAAGTTGATAAAAATCTCATATCAAGACTTGGGTTTCTTTGAGGTATATATGAGTTACAGGTAAAAATTTGAAGGGAGGAATGCACTTTGGTTAGAGATTTTCATTTGGTGTCAAACGCACCTAGTTGTAAACAAATGGAAATTGAAAGTAAAAGTGCAACGGCACGGTATATTTTTTCTGGCATTTTTTGTTTTCCAATATCTCGAACTTTCACGACAAAAAGGTCATTTGCCAGAAATTCAATACATGTATCAGTGAGAGGGGCTAAAGTTTGTATGGAAGTCTATGGGAAAACATTTGGTGGTGTTTGTCCTATAGAATAGGTATGATTTCATGGATAAAAAATGATTACAGCCAAAAAATCAATCAGTTCCTATTTTTTTGGCATTGGGATTATATTTTAGTTAGTTTTGACTATTTGTTTAAAAATTAGAGGGTTTGGGTAAATTGAGGCTCACAATGGGGACTGCACATAGTGAAAAAATGCCAAAATTTTTGCCCTAGTTCTCATATTTTCAATAAATGTTCATGTAAATAATTTTAAATAAATATTTATACCGAAATTTACTGTGAATATTGTAAATAATACAATATCAATATTTATGGGCATCATCAATACACAAAACATATGAATATCCCCCTCGCAGTTTGAGAAATTCATTTAAATCCATGTGTTTTTTGAGTGTAGACACTGGAACAGATTGAGTAATCCTCTTTCAAATTTGTGTTAATCAGAGTTGATTGAATAATTTATAACAAAATTTGACTGCTGTTAACTAATTAGGTTACTTTGTTTTTACATAAGGGGCATAATCCAGCAGAAAAGCCAGTTTTAGTCATGTAATCAGTGCTGGCTTGAAATAAAAGTTATACTTTTGGTGAAACTTAGGGATTACTTGTAGGAAATTTCATTGAAATTACAGTACAATATATTTTTGCAGAAAATACATTGAAAATGCAATAAATATGCAAAATTATAACTGAAAAAATATGAAAAAGGTGTCTGAATATCCCTCCTCCTTGCCATATGCATCTTGATATTCTGCTGAAAAGGGGGGGGGGGGGTAATTTTGTCCTCTAATCATGCTGAAAAATGAAGGAATTTTGTTTAAATGTGGTTTATTTGAATAACAAGAGTCATGTTTATCTGCAGTTATTTTTTTTTCAATTTCTTTGATATTTTTTAAAATAATTATCTGAGTAAATTCTATTTTAACATGATTATTTTAAAGGAATTACATCACAAATGCTTAAAAAAAATTCAAAAGATGGTGTAAATAATAAAAAATCATTATGTAAGCTACTAGATGCATTTATCAGTATGTTTTAATAAAATAAAATGTATTTCAGCAATGCATTATCAAGAAGGAAGAGATTAATGAACCCTACCCTCTTACAATGAACAACACATGGACACCCTCGGGATGATCCCTCTGCTTTCATTAAGAGTTCCAAGGTATGATTTTCTTAGAAAATCTAGTTAATCTCTTAATATTTAAGTTATTTAGAACTTTTTATAGATTATCAGAAAATAAATTTCCTCAGAACTGCAGTTATTTAAACATTTTGCGTACAATTGAGCACTGTATTCAGTCAGACAATATGATTTATCTGCCCTTGGCATTTAATCAATTTATTAATTATGTCAATAATAAGAAATGATATGCAAATAAATATATTTGCCTTTTATGAGAATATACATATTTAACATCAATTACATGAAATGTTCATGAAAATTGGCTAAAATGTAGGTCACCCCCCTTCAAAATTACAAAATTTTCAGTGGGGATGTATTTGATTCTCTGATGCCAGCAACCCACTGCTGATAGAATTTGTTTTAATCTTATGTACATTTGAACTAGATATAATTCTCTTTCTTTCCATTGATTATTTTATCTACATTAGTTTTCACTCTTTCCATAACCCAGCTTTTTCTTACAAAAACCTGCTGATTTTCTTCATTTTTCATTAATAACGGGTACCTGCTACCCTGAATGATTAACATGATCTACCTTGAGAAATTATTAGAGATAATAAGAAAAACAAGCAAAACATATGCTAGATTAATCATTTTATTTGAAAAGTTTGAAAGAAAAATAGAAAAATGCTTCAATTTATAGACATCTTTTCTGTTTCACAGATGTTGGTCTGATTGACTGGGGTGTGAAATGTAACAGCCAATGGTGTACTTAAGCTAAGACTGTCAGTCCCAATATTCAAGAGGTGAGATAAGCAATGGATATGTGTTCTAAATTTACTAAATTGACCACTTTTTATAAATGTTTCTTTTACTCTATAGGAAAAACCCCTACATAAACAAATACATGGGCGCAGACGCGTGATTGGTCAATAAGAGAAAAGACTTGTTATGTATTTGACAAGTGAAATAAAGTTGATAAAAATCTCATATCAAGACTTGGGTTTCTTTGAGGTAGATAGGAGTTACAGGTAAAAATTTGAAGGGAGGAATGCACTTTGGTTAGAGATTTTCATTTGGTGTCAAACGCACCTAGTTGTAAACAAATGGAAATTGAAAGTAAAAGTGCAACGGCACGGTATATTTTTTCTGGCATTTTTTGTTTTCCAATATCTCGAACTTTCACGACAAAAAGGTCATTTGCCAGAAATTCAATACATGTATCAGTGAGAGGGGCTAAAGTTTGTATGGAAGTCTATGGGAAAACATTTGGTGGTGTTTGTCCTTCAAGGACAGGTACTTTCATTTTCAATTTTTGGATAGGTCGTTCGTGTAATGTTTCGTACCGATATTTGAATGCTTGTATCGTAAGCCGTATCTTGGAGGAAAATATCGATATGTATCGGTGTATCGGTATATCGTCCCACCCCTAGGTAGTATGATGAAAAGCCCTATCTTGATGTGACGTTGTTACGCGCCAACGTCACCCTCATGGTTGGTTGGAAACCTTTTAAGTTACTCTCTGACAACCGAAAAAAAAACTTTTTTGGTTGAAAAGTTAAAAACAAACTGCACAGCAACATGTTGTTGCCTTTTTATTAGGTCACCTGAGTAAACTCAGGTCACCTGAGTAAACTCAGGTGACCTATTGCTATCCGTTTTCGTCCGTCGTCGTGCGTCGTCCGTCGTGCGTCGTGTGTTAACATTTGAACATTTTCAACTTCTTCTCTGCAACCACTGAACCAATTTCAACCAAATTTGGCATCTATGGGTAAAGGGGAACAAAAATTGTGAATTTCATGATCCCTGCCCCCCTGGGGCCTGAGGGGTGGGGCCAAAACTACTAAAATTAATGCAATCTTTAAAAATCTTCTTCTTTACTCCTGGACATCAAGCAGTCAAACTGTTTGCATGATTGTAATCAGCATCGAGTCCTCTACCAAAATTGTGAAATTCATGGCCCTGGGGTCAGGGGTTCTAGTGCTAGGGCGGGGCTAAATAAGTATATAGTGAAAATGCATTATTTCTTTGAAAATCTTCTTCTCTGCTCCTGGGTATTAAATAAACCAACTAAGTACATAGTTATGATGAGCAAGAGTGCCTCTACCAAAATTGTGAATTTTATGGCCCCAGGGTCAGGGGTTAGGGTGGGGCTCTATTGATTATATATAGTGAAAATACATGATTTCTTTGAAAATCTTCTTCTCTGCCCCTGGGTATTAAATAAACTAACTAAGAGCATGGTTATGAATGAGCAAGAGTGCCTTTACCAAAATTGTGAATTTTATGGCCCCAGGGTCAAGGGTTCTGGTGTAAAGGGGGGGGCTCTATTGATTATATAGTGAAAATACATGAATTCTTTGAAAATCTTCTTCTCTGCTCCTAAGTATTAAATAAACTAACTAAGTGTGCATAGTTATGATGAGCAAGAGTGGTTCAACCAAAATTATGAATTTTATGGCCCCAGGGTCAAGGGTTCTGGTGTTGGGGGGGGGGGGGGCTCTATTGATGATAAAGTGAAAATACATGAATTCTTTGAAAATCTTATCCTCTGCTCCTTAGTATTAAATAAACTAACTAAGTGCATAATTATGATGAGCAAGAGTGCCTCAACCAAAATTATGAATTTTATGGCCCCAGGGTCAAGGGTTCTGGTGTTGGGGGGTCTCTATTGTTGGTATAGTGAAAATACATGAATTCTTTGAAAATCTTCTTCTCTGCTCCTAGGTATTAAATAAACTAACTAAGTGCATAGTTATGATGAGCAAGAGTGGCTCAACCAAAACTGTGAATGTTATGGCCCCAGGATATAGGGTTCTGGTGTTAGGGGGGGGGGCTCTATTGATTATATAGTGAAAATACATGAATTCTTTGAAAATCTTCTTCTCTACTCCTAGGTATTAAATAAACTAACTAAGTGCATAGTTATGATGAGCAAGAGTGCCTCAACCAAAATTGTGAATTTTATGGTCCCAGGGTCAGGGGTTCTGGTGTTAGGGCGGGGCTCTATAGATTATATAGTGAAAATACATGAATTCTTTGAAAATCTTCTTCTCTGCTCCTAGATATTAAATAAACTAACTAAGTACATAGTTATGATGAGCAAGAGTGCCTCAACCAAAATTGTGAATTTTATGGTCCCAGGGTCAGGGGTTCTGGTGTTGGGGCGGGGCTCTATAGATTATATAGTGAAAATACATGAATTCTTTGAAAATCTTCTTCTCTGCTCCTAGAAATTAAATTAACTAAGTACATAGTTATGGTGAGCAAGAATGCCTCTTCTAAAATTATGAATTTTATGGCCCCAGGGTCAGGGGTTCTCAGTGTTAGGGCGGGGTTTAATTGATTATATAGTGAAAATACATTAAATCTTTAAAAATTTTCTTCTCTGTCTCTGGGTATGAAGCAGGCAGATGAACTACGTATATAGTGATGATGAGCAAGGGCCCTAATCTTCCAGAATTGTGAATTTCAAGGCCCAAAGGTCAGGGGGGGGGGCTTTACTTATATACTGAAAATGAATTAATTGTTTGAAATCTGCTCCTTTGTATTTATAAAACATTTATTAATTTTTTGATAAGCAATTTTAAGGGTGCCTTTTTAAAATTTGTGCAATGTGTGGACCTAGGGTCAGGGGTTTATGTCACAGTGTTAGGGGCACTACTGATTATTGCTGAATATTATTGATTAGTTGGAATGCATTTTTTTTCCACTACCTTGTGTATGGGTATTCAGTAACCAAGCTAAGCAACTGCTAAGTGTATTGTTATGATGATCAATGGTGCCTCTTTCAAAATTGTGAATGCCATATAGCATCTGTCTTAAAACATGAATCAAATTCAATAACTGGAAAGTTGTTGAATAATGCTCAGGTGACCTATAAGGCCCGTGGGCCTCTTGCTCACTTATGCAACTCAATTACTAGACCCAATGTAACTTCCGTCATCCATACCATGATTGCAAGAAATTTATACTGACTGCAAATATCGGAAAACGATGTCTATAACTCTAATACATCTCTTTGCAATACAAAATGTGATTACAAAATTGTCATCATCAACATGCACGTGTATTTGGCTTTTATCATATCCCCTACGTGACACCATACATTTCATGATTGGGCCCTTCCAAGTTTTTTCTGTGTTTAGCGTCCGCATGCGCCTTGGTTTTTGACACCCAATATAAGAAAAAAAACACAACATCAGGAGACCTTAAATTTATAAATTTAGTCGAAGTTTTTTAATGTTGTCAATTTCTCCAAATAATTCTATGCAGTAAGTTATATTGGGTGTATTTTAAGCATTTAATTCCTTGTTTTTGCTTAAGAATAGATATTTCTTCTATTAAAGCAGTTTAGTTAGATCAAATCATTTGAAGGGCGTCATTTTTATGACTTTTAAGCCTGTGTTTTATGTTTTGGCTTGTGTGTTTTTTTTGCGAATAGGTAGGTAGGTTTTTGAAAGATGGGTGGACGCTAAACAGAGAAAAAATTTGGAATGGCCTTGAGGAATTTTGACCATCGATTTTAGTGCACAGTAACCAAAATACACATCTGATCAATTTTCATAATTTTCGGCCACATAGTTAAATATTTTTTCGCTATTATGCGTTTCTTTTTCATTTCAGTATACATTGTGAAATACTTGGTTACCTTTATTCTGATATCTTGTTTAATAATGCTTATTTAAAGAGGAAAGGAGAGAAAAGATATGAATATTTAGTGACTTGTACGGCAATCGCCTGAATCGGATGAAATCGATCATACACAATGTTTGATTTTTACCGTATTTTTTCTTTCTCAGAATACAAACGAAATTTCTTGCGGATTAAGGAGCTAATCCTGATTGGTGGTCCCAATGACGACGTTATTTCACCATGGCAATCAAGGTTAAGTTTTTAACTGTTTTCCCTCATAATTTCAATGTTAGCCTGAACCACATATTATTGTTCTAATTTTTAGGACATATTCACCAAGAAATTTAACATCTTTTTAAAATTTCAAATAAAGTAGTATTTTAGTGCAAACTGATATTTATCAGTTTCTGTAGTTCCCATGGATTTCTTTTAGCATAATTGTAAACATGCATGTATAAGACAAATTGTTACCTACTCGATTAAATTCATAGCGGAAATGTATTGCCCCAAAACCAAAGGTTTTTTAAGCAATGGTAAAAAATTGAGATACATGTAAATAGACTTTTATAATTAGCAGTATTTATATGGTATTGTTGTAACTAAATTAATCTTGTAATTAAAATAAGTTGTATTAGGTTAGAAAGAATAAATGAAATGCCAATGAAAACAAGGATAATATTACGTACATTATCGAAAATTATAATATGAATTTCAAGAAATTATTAAATATATTTTAGTCACTTTAGTTTCTACAATGAAAAGGGGGAAGTGCAAGGAATGAAAGAGCAAAGGGTAAGATAAGATCGACCATGGAAAAAACTTTGACTGATAATATCTATTACCTCGCTAGATATCAATTTGTCCTGTTCATGCTTTATTTTTCTTTTGTCGAATAATACAGTTTTATAAAGAAGATTCCTTTGGGCTAAAAACCATGGATGAACAAAACAGAATAAAAACCTATGCAATTCCGAATATCCAGCACAGACATTGGGTCCGTAACCTGACAGTGATTAAGGACATCATCGTGAAATCACTGACCTAATTTATTTTAAAATGACATTGTCTTTGGTAAATATTTAAGTAAACAAATTTGGGCCACATGCGGAATTTGTTGTGTTCAACTTTACCAAGCATTAAATAAAATATAAATATTAATTCAATTTCGTAGATGTTGTACTTGAATATCAAGGGGGAAAAACGTTGGTATGAGTACAAAAATAAAATTGCCAAATATTCTTTAAGTTTTCTTAAAAATTGTTCAAATCGGACCAAAGAGAAAGGGAGATTTATTTGTAAACAGAATTTATCTAAGGTTGTTCAGAAAGTATGGTTTCATCATTCATTTTTTAAATCCTCAATACAATATCCTTTGTAAAAAAAAATGAAAGAAAAAATGAGTTAGCTCACATACCCCACGCTCCCTAAAACTTCGAAGTGCCAAAATTCCCAGAAAAATTATAGGAATCGGAATTTCTTGATTATCTAAACATTGTTCCTAACTATCTGCAAATTTTGACGAAATTCTGAGCAGCGGTTTATGAGGAGTTCCGCTGACAAACTATTCATCTCTATAATTTATATATGGCCAAAAATCTAGGTCGAGAAGTGCCAAAATTCCAAGAAAAATAATTATAAAATCGAAATTCAAAAACTGTCACGGACTATTTCATATTGGACGACCAATTGATTCTGAGAGGGGCGAGGGACACGTTTTTCTTTTCCAAGTTAGATTATTCATTTTATCTTTTAAAAAATGAAAATAAACTGGAAAAGCAAAAAGGAAACGCTGAAGTCCAAAAATCTAATTTGTTGGGGGGGGGGGGGGGGTTAAGAGCACTGGATAGGGACAGTTTATTTTCTCTCCAGTTGAGAACAGGTTATTTATTTTTTACAATTTCAAGTACCTTTCAACTTTATACACAACCATTCCCCGCCATAACTTAAAGTCCAGGTTTTTGATATCATTGACAGCTGCCTTTTCAATGAAATGGAAATTATAAATTTACTTACCTTGTAATTCGTCATTTGCAAGATTATTTTTTAAAAAACACTCTGATTTAAAACACAATTACTCAGAATTTGACATCAAAAAGATTCTTGAGTTTCTGTTTGACAAATTCTATGGTGTTTTTGGAGACCATGTTTTTCAACAATCTATTGGAATTCCCATGGGTACCAATTAAGCCCCGTTATTAGCAGACATATTCTTCATTTCATACAAAACAGCAATTTGTGCAAAATCTTATGCGTGAAAAGAAAAAAAAAACTTGGTGTGACCTTCAACTCGACATATCGACAATGTATTGTCAATTAACATATATCGACAAAGTATTTTCAATTAACAATGATAATTTCCGTTCTTATGTCAATACGAAATATCCAGGTGAACGTGAGATAAAAGATACCACAGCGTCTGGCACATCTGTTTCATATTTGGATATTTTACTTGAAAAAGACGTGAATGGTAATCTAACGACCAAGCTGTATGATAAACGTGACGAATAACTTTTCAATCGTCAACTTTTCTCACTTATGCAGCAGTAAACCTTCATCACCTGCATACGGAGTTTATATCTCTCAGTTGATTCGATACGTAAGAGCATGCACTACGCATGTACAATTTTTAAAACGAGGTAAATTATTGACAAGTTGATGAAACAAGAATATCAACAGTGTCATTTGAAGTCACCATTTCGTAAGTTCTATGGTCGATACAATGACCTCGTAAGCAAACAATTTATCATCGACTCAAATGCTGACTGACGTTTTTCATACTAATTGTTAGTCCATTATTTACACACTTAATTGACGACAGATTTTTAAAAAGTTATTTCCCGATCATGACTAAGAGCACACGGCGGGTGTGATCGGTCGGCAGGGGATGCTTACTCCTCCATGGCACCTGATCCAACCTCTGATGTTTCGGAGGTCCATGTTTGCTCTGCTGCTTTTTTGTATTGCTTTTTTGACTTTTGAGCTTAAATGCTGTTCGTTCTCTCCATATATATTTCATTGTACATCAAAGATGATATTTTGCTACATGCATGTATACTTTTTGTTACAAATGTTTTAAAATTTTCCAGATATTTTTATCATTATACTTTTTTAAGAGTATTTAAATATGTTTTTATAAATTTGAAAACTTTGTGTCAATGACAAGAAATGCACAGTTGGCTCTACTTAACATTAAAAAATGCAGTGCCAGATTTTCATTGTACATAAAGCATAATAATTGTCAACTAGGAGACTTATTGTTCACAGAACAATAAGAGGTCTTTCCACCTTCTTTGAATTTCAAATTTGTTTTATATCTGACTCCATAAAATTATATTCCATGAAAAAGAAACCAGAATTGTCTTAAAGCATAGAAAAAATAAAATTGAAGAAAAAATTGGAATGACCTTGACCTTTGACCTTGAAAAAATATTCAAGGTCAAAGGTCAAGGGTCATAATGCAATTGACCTCATGCTTCTATGACTTGTAGTTTTCAAGTTATAAGGTTTAATAGTAAGTACAAAGAACTTCAAGGGCAATAACTCATATAAGGGTCATGAGATCCTTTCGCACTTATACAGTGAAGTTAGGTGTAAAGACCCTTAAGACATTGAGAAGATTTGGTGACTCTACGGTCTATAGCTTCGGAGCAGTAGCGAAAAATAGGATTTTCGAACAAGGGGCAATAACTTTTAAAAGGGTTAATGTTAGGGGACAAGAATGAAATCTTTGAAGTAGTTTTAAAAGTACATAGTAATGATGCATAGACATTAAGTATATGTTGAAAGACAAAAGAGATACAAAAAGAGCTAAATTTCTCATTTTTGGAATGACCTTGACCTTTGACCTTTACATGAATTTTAAGGTCAAAGGTCATTTAATCTTATGCAGTTGGTCCCATGTCTCTACGACTTCTTATTTTGAAAATTTTTAATTATTTGTAAAATTAAAGAAGTTTCAGGGGCAATAACTCATTGAAGAGGCCATGAATACTTTTGCAATGAAGGATTTAAGCTTGCCTTAATTAGTCGAAGACATTGGTGAAGGTTTCATTCCTCTACGATTTCCGGTTTCGGAGGAGTAGCAATAACAAACATTTTTGCGAAAGGGGCGATAACTCCGAAAGGGGTCGAAGTTCATATACGCAGGGTCAAACGAAAAAATCATTAAAGGAGTACATTCTTATGAACTATAAATCTCTTCAATAACTTTCGAAACAAAAAACCATTCGGCGGAAAAATAATAAAAATAATAATAACTAGGAGACTTATTGTTCACAGAACAATAAGAGGTCTTTCCACCTTTTTAAATTTCTTATAGTTTTATATTTAACTCTCCAATTTAATTTTAAGGGAAATGGCTTAAAAAAAGAAAATGAAAATTTAAAAAAAAAAAAATTGAAATGACCTTGACCTTTGACCTTGATCAGATCTTCAAGGTCAAAGGTCAAGGGTCACATTGCAATTGACCCCATGCCTCTACGACTTTTAGTTCTATAGTTATGTTTAAATATTAAGTGCAAAGAAGTTAAAGGGCAATAACTCATATAAAGGGTCATTAAATCCGTTAGTACTTATACAATGAAGGTGTGCCTAAAGACCCTTAAGACATTAGTGAAGAGTTCATGCCTCTACGGTCTACAGTTTTGAAGTTGTAGCGATAACAATGTTTTTCGCATAAGGGGCAATAACTTTTGATAGGGTCAATCTTGGGGAACAAAAATGAAATCTTTGAAATAGTTTTAAGAGTACATATTAATGATGCAGAGACTGTTTGCATATGTTAAAAGACGAAAGAGATATAAAAAGAGCTTAATTTCTAATTTTTGGAATGATCTTGACCTTTGATCTTGACAAAATATTCAAGGTCAAAGGTCAAGGGTCACAATGCAATTGACCCTATGCTTCTACCATTTATAGTTTTCAAGATACAAGGTTTAATAGTAAGTATAAAGAAGTTAAAGGGCAATAACTCATATAAGGGGTCATCAGATTCTTTGCACTTATACAGTGAAGTTAGGTCTAAAGACCCTTAAGATATTAGTGAAGGTTTGGTGTAGCTACGGTCTACAGTTTCGGAGGAGTAGCGATAACAAGGTTTTTCGCACAAGGGGCAATAACTTTTAAAAGGTTTTATCTTAGGGGACAAGAATGAAATCTTTGAAACAGTTTTAAGAGTACATATTAATGATGCATTGTATTAATGATGCATTGAAATTAAGTATATGTTGAAAGACAAAAAGAGATACAAAAAAAGCTAATTTTCTCATTTTTGGAATGACCTTGACCTTTGACCTTTACATGAATTTTAAGGTCAAAGGTCAATGAATCTTATGCAGTTGGTCCCATGTCTCTATGACTTCTTGTTTTGAAATTTTTTAATTATTTGTAAAATTCAAAAAGTTTCAGGGGCAATAACTCATTGAAGGGGTCACCGAATACTTTCGCAATGCATAGATTGAAGAGTCCCCATAATTAGTCAAAGACATTCGTAAAGGTTTCATACCTCTGCGGTTTACGGTTTCTGAGGAGTAGCGATAACAAGCATTTCTTGTGAAAGGGGCAATAACTTCGAAAGCGGTCAAGGTTCATTTACGCAGGGTCAACTGCAAACATCTTTTACGGAGTACATTCTTATAGACTATAAATCTTTTCGATAAATCTTGAAACAAAAAATCACACGGCGGAAAAATAATAAAAAAGGAAAAGAAGAAACAGAAGGAAATCAATAGGTCTTTCCACAGAAAGGTGGAAAGACCTAATAAACAGAACAATTTCAATAGGTCTTTCCACGGAAAGGTGGAAAGACCTAATTAAAACAACGCATGGTACTGTCAGATACAAAGTGTTTTAATTCAATGAAAGCAAAGAAAATTTATTAAACTAATACGTACTGTGAGCAATGAGCTCATTAAATTACCCCCCGCCTCCCATAATGTCCATGTGTTGCTATACATTGTTTTACGGTAATATGTAAAGAGGAATAACTCGTCCTATCAAATGTTATCCAGAAGCTTCTATATATATGACGTCATAGGTAAACATATATAATGGCTATGGCCATGTTTTGCTATGGGACACCTAAAATACATAATCGAATAAAAAATTAAAATAGGAGGTGCACAATGGCAATATGTAATAAAGATTCTGTGAAAGTTTCATTAAATTTCACTCAGTAGTATAAGAGGAGTTGCGGA